TTACCCTCCCTTTTTCCCCAGCCCCCCCCCCCCCCCCAAATCCAAACCAACCAATCAGGACACGGCACCATCGCATCCACCAATCCCCATTGGCCGCCTTGCCCTGGCCCCGCCCACAGCCGCCATCTTGGGGGCGTGGCCTCAGCACTGAGGGCCGTCTTGGGGGCGTGGCCTTTGAAGTGGCGGCCATCTTGGGGGCGTGGCCTTTGAAGTGGTGGCCATCTTGGGGGCGTGGCCTTTATTTCGGCGGCCATCTTGGGGGTGTGGCCTTTGACCTGGCAGCCATTTTGGGGGCGTGGCCTGTCTCAGGCAGCCATCTTTGGGGCGTGGCCTTTGAGCGGGTGGCCATCTTGGGGGCGTGGCCTTTATTTTGGTGGCCATCTTGGGGGCGTGGCTAAACACTGGCAGCCATCTTGGGGGCATGGCCTTTATTTCAGTGGCCAACTTGGGGGCGTGGCCTTTGAAGTGATGGCCATTTTGGGGGCGTGGCTAAGCACCACTGGCCATCTTGGGGGCGTGGCCTTTGAAGTGACGGCCATTTTGGGGGCGTGGCTAAGCACCACTGGCCATCTTGGGGGCGTGGCCTTTGACCTGGCAGCCATTTTGGGGGCGTGGCCTGTCTCAGGCAGCCATCTTTGGGGCGTGGCCTTTGGACTGGTGGCCATCTTGGGGGCGTGGCTTTTGAGCTGGCGCTCATCTTGGGGGCGTGGCTTTTAGTTCGGCGGCCATTTTGGGGGCGTGGCCTTTATTTTGGTGGCCATTTTGGGGGCGTGGCCTTTATTTCGGTGGCCATCTTGGGGGCGTGGCTTTTGAGCTGGCGGCCATCTTGGGGACATGGTCTCAGCATCATTCCGGGGGCGTGGCCTGCGTGTTGTCGGCCATCTTGGTTGGCGTGGCCTGCGCCTTGTCGGCCATCTTGGTGGGCGTGGCCTGTCTCAGGAAGCCTCCTCCAGGTCCCCCATGGAGAAAGTTCCGGTGTCTTCCCCCGGGCGCAGCCCCCGCCAGCCAGAACCTCCTGGATCGGGGTGAAAATCCAACATTTTGGGCAAAAAGATCAATTTTGGGAGGAAAAAACGTGATTTGGGGGTGGGAAAATGGATTTGGGGTTAATTGAAGATTTTTGGGGTGAAAAAAGGAGATTTTGGAGCTAAATTGGGGATTTTGGCTTTGGGGCGAGAGGTTTGGTGATAAAATGAAATAATTTGGGGGGAAATGGGAAATTTGGGACAAAGTTGGTGATTTTGGGGCAAAACCCGGAATTTTTGGGGATAAAATGAGGATTTGGGTGGGGCAAAATCAAAGCTTTGGGCTGAAAATGGGGAATTTGGGGCAAAAAAAGGGAATTTTGGGGCAAAAAAAGGGAATTTGGCGGTGAGAACCGGGAATGTGGGAGTGGCGGGGTTGAGTTTGGGAGGAAAACGGGAAATTTGGGGTGAAATTGGGGATTTTGGGGGAAAAATTGGGGATTTGGGCAATTTGTGATCAAAATGGGCAATTCAGGGGCAGAAAGTTTGGGGCAAAACAGGAAATTTTAGTCAAAAATGAGAAAATTGGGGTGAGAAGAGCCCAATTTTGGGGTTTAAAGGAGCATTTTAGGGGAAAATAGGAGAAAAATTGGGAGAAATTTGGAAATTTGGGGGAATTTGGGGCAAAATGGCCGAGTTTTGGACAAAAGGGGACAATTGGAGGGTCAAAAAAGACAATTTTGGGGGGAAAAATGTAAATTTTTGCACTAGAATGGGAAAATCGGCATCAAAATGGGGCCAAAAAGGCCAATTCTGGGGTGAAATGGGCAGATTTGGATTAAAATCAAAGATTTCAAGGAAATCGGGCGATTTGGGGTGCAAATGTGTAATTTGGGGAAAAATGTTTAATTTTTTTGGCTAAAAGTGACAATTTTGGTATTGAAATGGGTCATTTGGGGGTAAAAATGGACAAATTTGGGTTAAAATGGGAGATTAGGGGAAGATTTGAAGTCAAAAAGGGGAATTTTGGGGTAAAAAGGTGAAGTTTTGGGCAGAAAGGGATGATTCTGGTGTTAAAAATGGGGTTTTTGGGGAAAATTTGGGGTCAGAATGGGCAATTTGGGGGTAAAAAAGTCTTTTTTTTTGGACTAAAATGGGGAATTTGGGGGGAATTCAGAGATAAAAATGATTTTGAGAGCAAAAGGGACAAATTTGGTTAAAAAAAAATGACAATTTGAGGTAAAACCAGGAAATTTGTGGGCAAAAGGGGCAAAAAGGGAGGGTTTGGGGATCAAAATTTGATTTGTGGGGTCAAAATGGCCAATTTTGGGGTAAAATCGGTTTTAAAACAGGAGATTTGGGGGGATTTGGGGATCAAAATGGGCGAATTTGGGGCAGAATGATCGATTTTTGGACTGAACTGGAGAAATTTGTGTCAAAACGGGAACTTTGGGGACAGTTTTGGGGTCAAATTGGCAAATTTAGGGCAAAAAAAGTGAATTCTGGAATAAAATTTAGAACTTTTGGTCAAAATGGACAATTTGGGGACAAAAGGGCCTTTTCTTGGGCTAAAATGGGAAAATTTGGGTTAAAATGGGAAATTTGAAGGCAGTTTTGGGATCAAGGCGGGGAATTCGGGATTAAAATGGGAAAATTTGGGTTAAAATGGGAAATTTGAAGGCAGTTTTGGGATCAAGGCGGGGAATTCGGGATTAAAATGGGAAAATTTGGGTTAAAATGGGAAATTTGAAGGCAGTTTTGGGATCAAAGTGGGAAATTTGGGATCAAAACCAAAAGTTTTGGACGAAAATGGAGAAATTTGGGTTAAATTTGGTGGTTTGGGGGCAGAATTTTCTATTTTTGGACTGACAGGGAAATTTTAGGGTTAAAATGGGCGATTTTGGGGGTGGGGTCAAACTCCTCCCCTCCCCCACTGACCCCTCCTCTTCCGGCACAGAGAAGCAGCCAATAGGAGCCCGAGGAGCAGCGAGGCCACGCCCACCGCGGTGCCGACGACCAATGGGAGGAGCTCGAACTGAGCTGAGGCTGAAAACCCCCCCAAAAAAAACCCTGGGTCAGTAAATTCCCCAAAAAACCCAAAACTGCCCCAAAAAAACCCTTGGATCAGCAAAAAAAACAAAAATCACAAAATTTTCCCCCAAAAAATCACCCGGGGTCAGCAAAAAACCACAAAAATCTGAATTTCCAACCCCAAAAAAATAAAAAACCCTGGTCAGTAAATATCCCAAAAATCCCAAAACTGCCCCAAAAATCCTCCAGGAGCAGCAGAAAAACCAAAAATCCCCAAAATTTACTCAAAAAAATCACCTGGGGTCAGCGAATTCCCCAAAAATCTGAATTTTCACCCCCCCAAAAAAAACTGATCAGGAAATATCCTAAAAACCCCAAAATCACCCCCAAAAAACCTTGGGTCAGCAAATTCCCCCCTAAAAAAAAAACCCCAAATAAAAATAATAAAAAATAAAGCCTAAAAAAACCCCAAATTCTCCCCAATTTCCCCCAAAACCTCTCAAAATCTCCCTCCAAAAAATCCCAAAATCCCCAGAGGTCAATGAAACACCCCAAAAATCTCCCTAAAAGGTTCCAGATCCCCCAAAAACCTCCCTCAAAAAACCCTAAAACCCCAAAATTTCCCCCCAGAACTCTCCTGGAGACCCCAAATTCTCGATGTCTCAATTCTGATCCCAATTCTGGCCTCGTTTCCTCACCCTGCACCCCAAAATCTCCCTAAAAAACCCCAAAATCTCCCCAAACCCCTCGCGGTGACCCCAAGTTCTGGGGTGGAAAACTCCGGAATCAGTAAATACCTCAAAAATCCCAAAATTTGGCGCCCAAAAAAAACCCTGGGTCATTCCATAAAAACCCCAAAACCACCAAAAAAAACCAACCCCAAGGTCTGTGAATACCCCAAAAACCCAAAATGACCCCAAAAAACACTCTAGGTCAGGAAACACCCCAAAAACCCCAAAACCACCCCAAAAACCCCAAAACCACCCCAAAAACCCCAAACCACCCCAAAAACCCCAAACCACTCCAAAAACCAACCCCAGGTTCAGCAAACACCCCACAAACCCCAAAACCACCCCAAAAACCCCAAAACTACCCCAAAAAAATCCCAAAACCACCCCAAAACCCCCAAAACTACCCCAAAAAAACCCCAAAACCACCCCAAAAACCCCAAAACTACTCCAAAAAAATCCCAAAACCACCCCAAAAACCCCAAAACTACCCCAAAAAAACCCCAAAACCACCCCAAAAACCAACTCCAGGGTCACCAAACCCCCCAAAAACCCCAAAACCACCCCAAAAACCAACCCCAGGCTCAGCAAACCCCCAAAAACCCAAAAACCACCCCAAAAACCCCAAATCCACCCCAAAAACCCCCAAACCACCCCAAAAACCAAACCCAGGCTCAGCAAAAACCCCAAAACCACCCCAAAAACCCCAAAACCACCCCAATTTTGGACCTCCCCCCAAAAAAACCCCACCCCAAATTTTGGGGGACAGTGGGTGTGCTCAGTGGGTGTGGTCAGTTGGGTGTGGTCAGTTGGGTGTGCTCAGTGGGTGTGGTCAGTTGGGTGTGGTCAGTTGGGTGTGGTCAGTGGGTGTGGTCAGTTGGTGTGGTCAGTTGGGTGTGGTCAGTGGGTGTGGTCAGTTGGTGTGGTCAGTGAGGGTGTGGTCAGTGGGTGTGGTCAGTTGGTCTGGTCAGTGGGTGTGGTCAGTTGGGTGTGGTCAGTTGGTGTGGTCAGTGGGTGTGGTCAGTTGGGTGTGGTCAGAGGGTGTGGTCAGTGGCTGTGGTCAGTGGGTGTGGTCAGTGGGTGTGGTCAGTGGGTGTGGTCAGTTGGGTGTGGTCAGTGGGTGTGGTCAGTGGGTGTGGTCAGTTGGTGTGGTCAGTGGGTGTGGTCAGTTGGGTGTGGTCAGTGGGTGTGGTCAGTGGGTGTGGTCAGTTGGGTGTGGTCAGTGGGTGTGGTCAGTGGGTGTGGTCCTTGGGGTGGGCGTGGCCATTTTGGGGTGTGGTCCTTGGGGTGGGCGTGGCCATTTTGGGGTGTGATCATTGGGGTGGGCGTGGCCATGGGGTGTAGTCATTGGGGTGGGCGTGGCCATGGGATGTAGTCATTGGGGTGGGTGTTTCCATTTTGGGGTGTGGTCACTGGGGTGGGCGTGGCCATTTTGGGGTGTGATAGCATTGCATGGGCGTGGCCATTTTGAAGGGCATGGTCATTGGATGGGCGTGGCCATTTGGGGGTGTGGTCATTGTGGTGGGTGTGGCCATTTGGGGGTGTGGTCATTGGTGTGGGCGTGGCCATTTGCATTAATTCATCGGGGTGGGCGTGGTCATTTTGGGGTGTGGCCATTGCGGTGGGCGTGGCTAATTTGGGGTTGCGGTCACTGGGGTGGGCGTGGCCATTTGCATGTGTTCATTGGGGTGGGTGTGGCCATTTTTTGGTGTGGTCATTGTGGTGGGTGTGGCCATTTTTGGGTATGGTCACTGCGATGGGCGTGGCCTTTTTCTCCCCCACCTACCCCTGACCTCCACAGCCACGTCCCGGCTGGGCGGAGCCTCCAGCCAGGCCCCGCCCACCTCCTCCTCCACCCGGCAGCTGAAATTCCCGGCGAATTCCCGGGAAATCCGCGGGAAAAGCAGCTCGGAGCCATCCCCGCCGATGACGTCACCGGCGTCCGGCGTCACCTCGGCGCCGTCACGGAAGAAGCGGAAGCGCCGCCGGAAGTCGTGCCGGGGCGCGGCGCAGGTCAGGCGCAGCCGGTGGCCCGTGGCCACCACGCCCGAGAGCGGCTCCACGGACAGGACGGGAGGAGGACACGGATCTGGGATGGGGGAAAACAAAAAAAATTGGGGAAAATCCTTGGAATCGTCGATTTTTCCCCACCTGGGTGGGATGTGGGAAAAAGGACTGAAAACGACCCAAAAATTCGATGTTTTGGAGGTGGGAATGGAGAAGATGGACAAAAACCAGCCGGTTTTCCCCCAAAATCCCGATTTTTTTTCGGCTGGAGGACATTAGGAACCACCCAGATGGTTCTGGAGGTGCCACCATGACCCTGGTCAGGCTGGGCTTGGATTGGGTCAAAAAGGGCTAAAAATGGTCCAAAAATTCAATGTTTTGGACATGGGAATGGAGAAGATGGAGATGATGGAGAAAGTGGAGAAGAACCACCCAGTTCCTCCCAAAATCCCAATTTTTTTGACCAGAGGAGGTTCTACCATGACCCTGATGGGGCTGGGCTTGGATTGGGTCAAAAAGCGCTAAAAATGGTCCAAAAATCAACATTTTTGGGACTGGATGAGGTGGAAATGGAGAAGATGGAGAAGAACCACCTGGTTTTTCCCAAAATCCCGATTTCTTTTGGCCAAGAGGACATTAGGAACCACCCAGATGGTTCTGGAGGTGCCACCATGATCCTGGTTGGGTCAGAATTGGGTAAAAAATGGTTAAAATTGGCCCAAAAATTCAATGTATTGGAGGTGGGAATGGACAAAATGAAGAAGCTCCCAAAATTTCCTCAAAACCCCAATTTTTGCCATCTGGAGAAGGTTGAGGTCCACCCAGAGAGTCCCGGAGGTTCCACCATGAGTTTGGTTGGGTTGGGTTTGGATTGGGTCAAAAAAGGATTAAAAATGGACCCTGAAATCTCAATATTTTGGAAAAAATGGGGAAAACCAGTTGAAATCGTCA